CTAAGACTCAAATTCCAACTTTTTGAAAGTAGAAAGCGCCACGGACGGAGTGTCCTGGTTCAACAAGTTCACCACCATGAGGCGCCTCGGCAAAAATCTTCGTTGGTGAGGCTTCTGCAAACAGTCCAGAAAGCAAGCGTTTTCGGCACTGAATCTGCACAAGCAAAACAAGTGTCAGTGCTCCTGGACCTGCTGATGCTGTCGTTATGATCCAAGACAACAAAAGCAAAGGTACAAAGTACGGTACAAAGCATCCTCTACTCCAAGGACCTTCATCCCAGGGTGCCCCACGTATAGTTGTTTGGCAAATTCCTCAGCATCACCTGACCACCATGAGCAAGTCGGCTCCAACAGATTTAACACTATATATACTGAGACTATACTGCCTCGGGGCTAGGGAGCTGCTATCCAACTGAAGGAGAAACTCACGTCCAACGCACTGGAAGCAAAGACCTAAAAAGACTGCCTAACCAGAACCCGTTGGTAGCTCATGCAAGTCTGAATCTTATCTCAGTAGAACTAGGAACAAGTTAGAATAAATCCTTATCGGCGCATAATAGACATATAATAGACATGCATAATATACACTTCAAGGATCCCGCACCGTGGTGCGCGTGTCACGTGGTTTCACCTCGCACAATTTATCGCAACGTGGCTACAGTAGTATTTTGACACAGCTTTCACTCATAGTCTGTATATTTGCATCTAGGCATTGACAACAAGGATTGGCTTCTTCTATCCCTGTGGCTCTATTTGCTTTCTATTTTTGATCAATCTTCCATTTGTCTACTGCGGAGTCTACGGATTCTGAGCTTTTGTAACAAGACAAAAAGGAGAAAGCCTTGTGTGTGTGTGCTTTGTAGCGCGTCTGTTGGGTGGAGCTTGCAAGCAGGCAAGGAACACTCCGGCTTCTGAAGTCATAAGTTTTCAGGATAAATTTTCAGGGTACAGGTTCAAATTAAATTGATCATCACAAAGCTTTCAAGCCAAGGGCAGCACAGGAGGCGCCAGCGCATCCGCCACAGAGATCACCAAAGGAACGCCATTGCCTGAAAGGTAGCAGAGAGTTTTCAGCTCCCGTGCCCTGGCGATAAAAACATCCAAACACTCTGAAGAATCTGAAACGTTTTCTGGATTCGACTTGCAGAAAAAATAATCCAAGATCGTGCCAAATACAAAAAATGAGGCTTTGCGGGTTCCCCAGGAAGGGAGAAGCGGAGCAAGAGAGTGACAGAGGAAGGAAAACAGGCATCAACGAGGAAAGGAGAGACTCTCAAACACATCCTCATGCAGAACACAGCTGTCTGCAATCAAATCCACATTCACCTCTTATCAATGCCTGTGGGTTTGGAAGGTGGCACCGCGGTCGTGGTAGTCTCTTTAGGCAACTGGTCGCCTTGTGAGGGGCTCAGTCGATTGTGCCAAATGCAACATACCACCTTGCCAACACGTTAGCGCCTTGCGAATCATGCTTCAACCACCTTACCAACATCTGAGGTCCCAGCGATGTTGCTCTTGAAGCAGGTTCTGTAAGAAGTCGGGAGAAAGGCCTGTGATTCAATGGCTCCAGTCAAAATGGTAAAATGATGTAAGAAGGTGCAGCCACCAGTTTCGGCTTTGAAGTTGACAGCGAGGTGGTAGAACACAGGGTTCCAACCAACGTAACCTTGTTTCTAGTAGCGATGCCCTTTGCTCCTAGTAGCGAACATTGTTCCTAGTAGCGATGCCAGGAGCCCCTAGTAGCTTCTTGTTCCTAGTAGCGATGCCAGGAGCCCCTAGTAGCTTCTTGTTTCTAATAGCTTCTTGTTACTACTAGTAAGGCACTTGTTACTAGAAGCGATGCACTTGTTACTAATGGCTTCTTGTTCCTAGTTGCTTTTTTCCTTTAGACTTTTGGACCTTTTTTCTTTCTAGCTGAGGGCCACAATGAAAACATGTCATACGGTGGCCTTCACCGCTGGCCCCCCACCTGCAGCATCAAACGCTGCGGCCGCAGCTGCCGCAGAGAGGGCTGGCAACGTTTCGAAGGCCTCAAAGACCAGAAAGCAGCAGATGCACGGTCGCAAAGCACCAGCCCAGGTCCGTAAGGTGTTCACGTCGAGAGAAAGACGTGAGATGCTAGAAACTGAAACTGAATGTCTGCACTTCATGTGAGCTCACAAAAGACAACTGTTTACCTTCTATCAACACAGCTGAACTCAAAACACCTGCAAGTGGTTGGGCACGCCACAATTGATGGACAAAAAGCAATAGGGTAAGACCGACTTGGCCACATGTTAAGTTTCCCTAAAAGTCTAGGAACCACATGAATAGTGCGAGCGCTATCCTGCGTCCTGGCTAGTAGCGTGCAGTACCTAATAGCTACTAAGTAGCTTGCCTCTCCTACTGGCCTACCCCGCCGGGCTTCTAAAAAAGAAACGTTGCTAGTAGTCTATCGGATTCTATCAGATCTGGTGCTCAAACAATCCTTTTTCCAGATTCGCAACGTATCATTCAGTCGCGGCCAGCAAAGGATCTGATGATGAAAAACTTCTTCCCATCTGTCCTCTTCAAGAAGGATGGCAAGGGTCAACTATATAAATCCCCTTGTCCCCTTTTCCAAATAACAAATACTTCATGATGAGGAGAGTTGAATCTTCGGGACTGCATATGTTGCTTGGTGTTTCCAAAGACCAAGTCCTGCAACTCTTCGTGAAAGGAATGACTTCCATGCCAAGATCCATTGTCAGCTACCAACACCAGCGTCTGACAACCTCAACAAATTGCTGTCAGTGCCTTCTTAAAACCTAACTCTTCTTTGTAAATCGGTCTGCTCTTTGACCTGTTTCGTACAGGGTTTAGCCTAGCCACCTAGCCAAGACAAAGGTTGCCAACTTACCTAAAGAAAACTCTGAGCAACCCTTGTCTTAACACTTCAACAGGGCCTCACAATGTACAGTACATACTGTAAGGTTAATCCTACGTCTATCCCTAGCTAACCCTGTAGTTCAAACTCTAAACTCCAAGTTTGTCACAGTATTCTGGCTTGACCTTAGCTCGTTACAGTTCTGCTATTCTTTCCTCCTCCCCGACATGGTCACAAGAAAGGACAAGCATGCAGGAATATCTGGTTGCATGAATCATGAAGAAGGAAACAATGAGCACATTCGCATGTTCAGTGGTTGTTTCTTGCGTTCATAGCCACCTGGAACCTGAAAACTGGAAAGCACTTCAAAGCTCCAAGCCACGGGTGTGTCTCAATGCCCCCGTGGCTGCGTCGCTACGTGGTGGCCAGCTCCTTAGCAGCTCAAACTCGCAGCTAAGGTGTTAGGTGATTAGCTCGGTAAGACTTGGACTCCATTGACTCCATTCCCAATTGCTTCCTTCTTCAACCCATACAGGGCGAGCGCCAAAACCTGTGGAAACAAAAGCGAAATTCAATATGCTGGTATCGCTTTTGGTTTTCGCTATATCGCTTTGCAGTGTCCCGGATGCCTGCGTCATTTTTCTGCAGACTTTCTCTTGGAAAACACAAAAAAAAGTGAACTACGCATGGATATGGTTATATATATTATAGAGATGGAGACGCAGAAAAAAAATAGGGCGAGAGAGAATTCTACTTGCACACTTGCACTACGCCTTTGCGCCCGTTTAGTAGCCACTTTGAGTCTCACATAGCAACGCCTGCACATGCGACTGAAAGTAGCTGAAGTTGCTTGCAGGAAATTCCCTCTCTTGTCAGTCTCTCCTTGTCAGCGGCAATCATCTAATATCAAAAATAAGAATGTGGACAGAAATGATGCAATAGGAGTTCCGCTCGTCTAGACAACATGTTGATCATCTTGGAGTATCGCATTTGGTACCGCTACAGTATATGTAAAGCGAAACCAGCAGAGCCAAGATAAACAGAGAGAGAGAGAGGATGCAAGCGAAACGCCTGGTTCTTTAAGCTCCGGAGGGCCATAAACGGTTGGATCACGGCCCCGGTCACATTATATAGGCCATTTGTGCAGGCCCCCGTACCATAGAGGAGATTGTCATGCCCTTTCAAAAGATGAAAAAAAATAAACTTCTCTTGCCACAGGAGCGAACTCCTTGTTTGCGTCGCGCCATTGTTTCCTGCTTAAAGTAGATTGAATCAAATGATCGAGGTGTACCTTGTGAAGGTATCGCTTTTGGTTGTTCACTGTATCGCTTTACACGGTCCACTGGTGATTTCTATGCAAAAACTCCTCTCACGTTACTGGTAACAAGGGCATTACTACTGGTAGCAAGAAGCTCCAAGTAGCAAGTGGTACAGACCCTTTTGGATGTTGCTCGACTTCTCATGAGATGAGTTCACCGAAGGGATCCCCTTCTCTTATCCTCAGCCGAGTCTCATGAACAACGCGCATCGTTCTTCACCCTCCTCGCTCGCTGCACTTTCGCAAGAGCGGCGTTGCACAGGATACCACAGCATCCCTCCTTTGACAAAGGGGTTTGGCAATGCTTGGCTACATGCCCATGTCACAGGCAAGTGCTCGCGACCCTTGAAAAGAAAGAGCATTGGAGTCCAACAACCGACACGGGAAGAGCGTTCTTCGTTTCAGCGCTCCTGCTCCACCAGGTGACACATCCGAGCACAGGACACGCAAACCCTCCTGCGCCAGCATACGTCCATGCCTGGCATGTTATGAAGAGCAAAAAGCATACATACAAAGGCGCAAGACCTTCGCATTGTCTTCATAAGATCTCTATATATCCTAGAATGGTCATTGTTACCTACCACCAAAGTACTCGCCTCCAGTTACGAAATGGCACAAGTAGTTATTTCAATTAGTGGCCAGTGACAAAATGTTCTGTGGTTGCAAAGGCGATGAGGCAAAAAGCAGCAAATTAATCTGATTCAAGAGTCATCCCTTTGCATGCTTTGAAAGAATGCAGATAGTCTGCTTTAAACCGCCTTCAACGCCCAAGACTCAGACCATCAAGAATGCAGCCGAGAGTCAAGCCTGTACCAGCCATGGGATCAATCACCATCTTCAAGTCAAATGCCGCAAGCTGTTGCTGCACAATCCTTGCATCCGCACGACTGAAGAGCGCAAAGGCATAGTCAGCTGCCAGTAGGTTTCGAGCGATAGATGCCCAAGATTCTGAGGGAAAATATGCGACAGAATGAAGGCAGTGAAAAAATAGACAAATGTCAACAGTTGCAAATTAAGGGCTTTTATCTTGCTAGGTTGGTTGGCATGAACTATAGTGCTAGATTGGCAGCAATCTTTATGGGGGTCAAAGCCCAGAACTGGGTCATCTCGGAGTCATCTCGTGTGGTTGTATGTGTCCTTCGTCACTGAAAAGAAGAGTTGCGATGAAGCATTCATGATGCTCTTGCACCACAATCCGATTCAAACCCCGCCTGGCACACCTCCTCTTGCACGGGCTGCATCCACAAATTGGTCAAAGAGATTGGCGGCAGCTCGCCCCAAGTTATCTTGCACTGACGGGTCGTAACCCAAACCCATAGTCTTTGCCAAGGCCTCCACACGAAACGAAATCGGCCTGGACAATCTCCAAGGACGCCCACTCCGAGCGTTGATGTTCCTATTGCAATCATGCGTGATGTGTCGATCTTTACGCAAAATTTCAAGTCTTTTGAACATAGGGTGGAATTCATGAAACGCAGCAAAAGAAACGAATGAGCAAAACACAAAAAAGGGAATAGAATTTGCTTTTCTTCGAGTCAGATGCGTCCCTAGCCGGTTCAAACTCACACCCTGACCTGTTGATTCAAACGGAATCTCCATTGCAACATGTGGGAATTGGACTCTGGGTCCTAGGCTTGTTCAAAAATAGTAATAGCAACTTTGGGCATCTGAATAAAAGAAAACCTTTGATATGTATATGGCTATGCGACAAGGGTCGTAGAACGCTATGTGCATGATGTCTAAGGTCCCAAAACCGCAGAAGGCAACAAAACCTGAAGCAAGAGTCTTCCCACAAGCCAAGCTCAGATAGGACGGAGCCTCAGCAATGTCTGCGAAGTCCAAAAGTCTCCGAAATGCCAGCTCAACTTGCCACGCATCCTTTGTTTCATTTGACCTTGGTAGTGGAAGGCTTTGAGCTTAGAGTACAGAATATAGAATACCAAATACCCTGCGTGCACTCGATGTGCTATTGACGAACAAGTGCTGTGCAGCTATGTTAGGAAGACAAAGCTTTTGTCTTGAGCCTTTCTGTCAGTCAACTGTTCGTGTTGTGAAAGCAGCACAAACAATCAAGCTGCATTCCATACCATCTTGTCCACAAAAGGCTTCCAGTGCTGCCAAGTAGCAGCAGCTTTTCGGCACTACCAAAACTTAGGTTCTTTGCCCGTCTGTCAAGCAAGCTTTGGAAGCTTGTCGTCCTCGAGTTGGGATCTGTGCCTTCCAAGAAGAAACACCATGAGGGCAAGACACAACAGAACGGGATAGCTGCGTGATTCCGTGGAAACAAAACAATTCCTCTTATGAAACTATTGAGAAGCCAGGTTGATGATGCTCTCACCAAAGTCTGCCAAAAATTGCAGTGACTTGTGTGAGAAGGTACAGGTAATCGTGCGCCCTGAAGCCGCCAGCCTTCTGACTCAGCGCAAAAGAGCCTTTGCCTGCGATTATTCTCTTTAGGGCAGGGACGAGGTTGCACTTGACAAGTGTCCTTCTCTCCTAGTCTGAACAGAAGCAACAGAATTTCTGCAATCCTTTATCCGCCTTAGTTTCATCCCTCTAACTTCCTTGATTCAGCCAGGACCAAGTGACCGTGGTTTTAATATCACATTGGTCGTCACACTGGTGTCAAGGAAGCAGCATGGTTTTGACGGTTTTTGCGCTTGCTTTTGTTTTGCCATTGCTCGGCTGAGCCTTGGGAGCAATGCCCAAGCTGCGGGAAGGCCCCATGGCCGCAAAATGGAACCAAAACACGAAAATCGCATGGTCGGTGAGCATTCTTAGTATTTGCCAAGACGCTTTATGCATTAGTGACAGTTTTGCAGAAAGTGCATTCCCTCATTGAAACTCAAACATGCTTGTTGGTGTGCAGGCGTCTGCCCTTTGGAACCGAAAGTCACCTCGCAGAAGAAGCTGCACTTTGATTGTCATAATTACTAGCTGCTTCAAGGAAGCTCTTTTGCGGGAAAGTGCTGCAAATGAAAGCAACGAATTGCTGTGCCAAGCAAATGAAGAAACAATGTGGGAGGAACTGCAGCAAGACACTCAAAGTGAAAAACATGTTCAACTGTTAGAAGAGCTCTTTTGGTGTCTCCAGTTGTCCTGTCTTGGTTGTCCTTTACTTCCAAGTTCAGGACGGATGGGCAAACTGGCGGCACTGGAATATCAGCCTTTTCGCATTGAGCAGCATTCCGAAAGAACAGTAGATTTCAACCCGCCCAACCTGTTCGTTTGGGGACAGACTTGTGAACTGAAGCCTCCCCTCCCGAAGTCTGAAGAAAAAACCCAGAGAGTACAGAACCTATTCAATGGCCACTCAGTTCAGCTAAAACATGGATTTGAGTCAGGTCATCACTGTATCAGTGGAAGCACCTGCAACAGAAGTGCTAAGGCTGCTAAGTGTGAATATATGCAATATGAATGCAAACGAACTTAGATGAATTTTGGCGTATATACAAATACAACATGTTTCATAACATGCACGGTGACCCATGGGACTCTGGAATTGATACTGGTTGTGCCAGCGTGTCAGCAACAAGTGCTTAACTATGGAATCAGTTCCATCTAATGTTGGCCAGCTCCTCTCAAAACTCTGTATGACAACACTGCAGCAGTCTAAAGTGACATTCAACTTAAAAAAACGAAGGGCCGAGACGAAAGGATGAAAGCAAGGACGCAACTAGGTGTAACGAAGCGTGCTGCATGTCGCAAATCACAAGCGCTGGCTTTGGTTCCCACCTGCTTTAAGTAGGGTTTATGAGAAAGGGTTCATGTTTGCTTCTATTTTGCGGACACTGCTAACACATGTTAACACCACTGTTAAGTCAGACTTCGATGGTTCAATCATCAGGCAACGTTTTTGCTGGCCAGTAGTTACTGACCCACAGCAGCGGTTTTGATACAAGCTCTCAGGCAATCAGTAAACCGTGCCTTCACTTTACTGCGCTCTGAATTGCAGCTGCCAGCCTGACATCATGCTCTGTGCTGACCGCACAAACTGGTTTCAAGCGCACCAATTCATGTTCATTGTTTTTTTGTGCAGGCCTACCCTTAAGCTGATCCCTCTACGCGGCCTACATTTAGGGAAGGAGTATGAAACTGAAGCTCAAGGCAGCAGCCTGGCTGCCAGCATCATTAAGGGACTGCCTGCCGCTCAGGCTGACCGCATGCAAGGACTGTTTGCAAGAACAACTATTTTTTGACTTGGCAACCCTGCAAAAGTGAAAGGTCATTATTATCATTATAGCTTCCAGCTATTGTCATCTTGAGACCCGAATCAGCCACACCCATACCTCGATCCTACAAATGTTCGAGGTACAAAACCAACTCCGTGGTTCTGAGGCATTTGCAACAGCAAGCACTATATAAACGTCCAACTTCCAACCTCTCTTCATCCTCATCCTGTCAGAATTTTCGCAAAGATGACACAAAGTACCCAAGAAATCTCAAACCAATCACAGTAGTGTTCAGGTGATTACGAGTTGTCGACGATCCATTCCGCTTAGATACATGTACCATGTGGTGTCTTTGCACTGTTAAGCTTCAATGAGTAATCTGGTAACATAAAATGAAGAAGTGCCCCCAAAAAAATCCCCAACAGCTGAAGAGTCTGAAGAAAGCTCGGAGCCGAGGACAGAAGAAAGCTGGACCCCAACCAGCTGTAAGAATGGGTCCCTAGAAGAAGCGAGAATAGAAGAAAGCTGGCCCCAAGCAGCTGTAAGAATTGGCCCCTAGACGGTGGAGAGAAGAATTCTTAAAGCGCAATTTACTTATGGGCGGACTAATGGGTAAATGGCTCTCGATTTGAATAGCTTATACGACAGATCCAGTGGCCATGGGTGAGCGCATTTAACATGTTAGCCCAGGAGCCAGGCACGCCTACTCTTTTAAGGACACAAATGGCTAGGCGCGATCAGCCATGTCAGAGGCAAGAGAGCAACCAAAAGCCGCAACATAGCACCCGGCAGCAGCACTGCCAAGAATTAAATCAAGGGTGTGATTGATGGACCTACCACGGCGCCCACCACATGCAGTTTCAGGCCACCATTGGGAAATCCAGTGCACAGTGGCACTGCGCCATCTGGCCGTGGCGTGCAGCCGATACCAGCTGGACATGATACAAATAGGCCGCAGAAACTAGAGGCATGAAATGCCCCGTCAACACTACGAACACCCTTTCCCGGTCTAGGAACGCGCGTTTGACGGATTTGCTCCACGAGGTTGGTGAAAGTCCAAGTTTTTCAAGTTCGTGGAACAGGGGGAGAATTGACTCTCATGGGCAAAAGGGCGAGCTCGTCGCCACTCCATCCATCAATGCCATCAGCTCGACCCTGTTGTTTACGAGCAGCCGCCGCAAGATCACTAGCGCCCAAGGGTTCCCAAACAGAGACGTCTGCCGAAGGAAGACATCAACCGATGCTTCCAAGCTTGAATACGGGATACTTGCTGACTTGCGTGATTCTGGGAAGTCACGTTATCAACAAAAAGGGTCGGCAACAGAAACATCCGGCAACGAGATCACTCGTCGGCACTTGCGATAAAGTAAAGTTTGCTGCGGGCACGCTAATCGCCGCGCGTGGTATACTTGGATACCCTTTACACGAGTCAGAACATTACGGAGCTGGCGTAACTGAAGGTTAGGCAAATGCTTCTCAGGGCGTTTGCGTTGATTTGCTCCGACAACAAGTTGAGGGCTAGATCTCTTGGAACTGTCTCTGTGATTTGCTCCGGAACTTGTTCCGGAACCTGCTCCCAAACCTGCTCAGAATTTGCTTGGGAACCTGCCCCGCAAGCTATGCCGGCTGTGACTCTGCAATATGGGTGACATTGGGAAGGGTGGCGGTGGAGGTCTCTCCTCATGCTGCAGTTCAGTAGATGTGTTCTGCGGTGGCTGGCGAGTGGCTCCGCTCTCCTCTCTCTTGGAACCTGCTCCGCAACTTTGCTCTGGAACTTCCTCCGGAACCTGCTCCGCGACCTGCTGATCTGCTCCGGGGCCTTGACTATGGCTGAAGACCCCTGAGTTTCGCTGTTGGGAAAACCCGAATAGAAGCAGTCTCCGCCGCAAGCACCAGATGCTCAAGCTAAGCGGCATGCGCTTCTTTTCGCACGCAAGGAAAAACTGCCTTTCCTGCTGAGTGTCAAGAATTCAGCCAGGAAGAAGCAAACAAGAACGAGTGCTGCGATCTCAATCACACTGAACAAGTTCCATCAGACCAGAGACACCAATCAAACCGTCTAGACCTCTTTTGCTCCAACAGGTGAGCTACTAGGTCGAGGCTGCTTTGACTGCATTTGTCGCCCCGCCCCCCCAACCCGGAACCTTCCCCCGGCACGTTCCTTCTTCCGAACCCTTGGTCTGGAACCCGCTCCGGAATCTGCTCGGAACCAACCTCCTCCGGAACTTGCTCAGAACCTGCTCCGAGCTCCCCCTCCGCAACTTGTTCCGGAACCTGCTCCGAGTTTGCTCCGATCTGCTCCGAAGTCTATACTACGGCTGAAGACCCCTAAAGCCTCGCTGTTGGGGAAAAAGATTTGTATCATTAGGTGAAATCTTTTGGTGTTTAACCCTATCAACCGTTTCTGGTCCCTAAGTTCGCACCCCTTGCTGTCT